GTCATCATTTCAACATTTAAACGCAGATAATTCTGGACACACATGATTTTGAAGTATCAAATTTCGGCAGTGAACTTTGAACACTAATACTGATTGACTATTTCTGAGACTAAGGTATGATTGGTAAAAAATAATGGCGCATCTGTCCCTTTATGGTAAAAATGTTGCATTATTTGGTGACAATTATTGTGAAAAGTCATGACAAGATGGTCCAAAATGGCTGAATCAACAGCCCAGTTGGCATCCATATATTACTATTCTCTTATCAGCTTATGTGATGCATATATTCACAGCTTTGTTGCCAAAGTTTTGTGAATTAATTGCCATAAACTCGCATAAGAATGATCATCATGTATAAAATAGTTTTATCATATCATAACATGTATTACGCTAACTACCCTCTTCATGATTTTCAACCATTTCTGCCTAAATGTCATGTTTTCTTTGATTTCAATTCATGACATAGGAGAGATTTTGGTGGGAAAGGCTCTGTGAGATGTACTATTATTTATTATAAACTGTATTAATTGTGATACTGTTAGATTGTCTAATTGTAAACTATTTTCCTTGTAAGCCATCAATCAAACCAGATGTCAACTGTATTCTCTTTATTTGCCCGTGACCTTCTTTTGGTCATCTCTTATTTACCTGCTGATTTCAGATGTAAATCTGAACAGTTTTGCAACTTCGTGTTTGGTTTTACAAAAAAGTTTTTGCTACAAATTGAGGTCTACGGCCTTTTTGCATCAACATTGTACATTGAAAGTTTTCAAATGACCAAAAGTAGGTTTGGAAATAAGAGTACAGTAGAGTTATCTCCCATTGAAAACTCCTAGGTTAAGGTGTATTTTTTTCAGGTGAAGGTTGTTTGTTCTATTATTAGAATAATAAATCTTTTGTTGATCTCTTCTATATTTTATTTGATGCATTATTGTAAATAGCTTAATCTATTTAGAAATGAACTGTAGAAGGACTACTGGGCCTTTTTTGGGGTTGCTTCTTTAGAAATGTATGAATTCACAGATTGATGTTTAAAACTGATTTGATGTCTGTTTTAGGGCATCTGGTGTTTTGTAGATCATCATTTGTTTTGAAATATTTGTCAGCCGATCAGTGCTTCATTCCTTGGAAACTTGATAAAAATATTTAAGATTTTGATGAGATTTTCTGACTGCATGCTGAAGTTTTATTTGAATGAATTTGTCACTTGCCCATTATATATCACGCAAATTTTTAATTTTGTAATTAGTTTTAATGACGATAAGTCTTTTCTTCACAATGGGAGATATCTTTAAATGAGCACAAATCTGTCTCACCTGTAATGATTCTCAAATTATTTTGAGATGAATTTTTCGAATTGAAATTCTCTTGTTAATTTTCGATAAAAGAGAAATTCTTAATAAAAGCGAATTATTTGTATGAAGCAAATTTTTTCCATGATTGAAAAATTGTGGCAAGTTTCAATTGCATGGGTTGTGACAATGTAAATGCTAATTTACTAGCATTAAATACAATAGAAGCTTCTATGTATGATGTGTTAGGAAGATACATCAGTTTGTTTATGGGTGATAACAATTGTATTTTGGATGAAACATAAATACTTTAGTGCACAATGGTTTGATTGATGGCAAAACCAAAACATTAACATGTACCTCGGGCTTAAAATGTAACCCATGTTTAACACAAACTTTCAAAATCTAAGCACAGTTTCAAAGGGATTTTCTACTTGTGAAACATGGCCTGTTTATAGCAGCAGCTCTCTGAACATTATCAAATTAAAAGACCAGTACACAACCAGAAATCTTTGGGCTAAGAAATATGGACTGTATCCCCAAGAATCTTGTTATCCAATGAGTTACTGATGTTTAATTATGTACGACCTATTTATTAATTATTATTATTATTAAATGCTGTATATATATCGGCTGTAAATGGTTTATTAGAGCACTCATTGTATATATCTTCATCGTTATAATTGTTATATCATTTATATGGCTCTTTCATTAATGAAGATCGTTCTTCTCTCTCCTCTATGGTCATTTGTACATGTTATTATAATGTATGTATATGGTGAACATTCAAGCTTAATATTACCATCTTATTCACTTTGGCTTTCAATATCTTGTATGTTATAACTGTTCTCAAACCCTGATTTACATACACAAGTATTTGGTTATTTGATGATGTGGAAAATATCCCATGCCACAACTTAGCATGTGATGTGTTACTGCTGTGTCTTTTCTCAACAAAAACTTGCAGAGAGTTGCGTTGCTTTGGAATAGGGCTTTTCCAAACTATTTATATAGAAACAATGGAATCCAGTCAAATTTAATTTAATAAGATGCCGTAATGAAAAAAATGTATGATCATACTGGAATGCCCTAATAGAAGTGTATCATCGAAAATTATTGAATCTTTGAATCAGTATATATGAAATATGTGGGTTTGAGAATAGTCCAAGCTGTATTCAGTATCTCTTTCCTTTTCATAAAAGTCTTAGTATACGTAAAACTCTAAGTATAAGAAAGAATTTTGATCTAAAATCTTTACCAATTGTCAAGTTTGCATAATTTATTCAAAAAGAGACATAAGATTTTCTTGTCAATTAAAATGGAATGCTTTTTCTTTTGAAATCTTGAAATTTTGATAACAGTACTTTATTTCTTTAGAATAAAATGTAAGCTGGCCTTATTGGTTTTATAAAGAGTTGTAGTGAAACCTGAAATAAATTTCTTCAAGCTTATTTATCAGTTCTGTTTTATTATTCATTCAATAGATAGATAAGGGATTTGAAGCAAGTTCCACTCCCAAACTATTTGCCCACAATGCTGACCTTAGAATAGCTGTTAAAGGAATACTACCTCTTAGAATGGACCTAAAAATTTAAGTCTCAAAATTGGTCAACAAGTATATATATTCATCAGTTGGACTTACCAGGTACCATGACTAAAGAATAGAAACTCTATATAAGACGATATATCTATTAAACTAAATAATTATTGAAACACTCTTCAAAGCACGTTTTAAAATTACTTTGTTTAATGAATTATTACTTAGTTTTATGGATTTATAGAGAGATTCTGTTGTTCAGTTATGACACCAGGTTAGTCTACTGATGAACAAAGACTCTAAGGACGGGGATGGTGACAATGTTGGCATAGATTGAGATCTACTGTTTCCCCCTTTATCTATGATGAAAGGCTAAGAGACTGAGCACAAAACATCAACTACTCTTTGGTTGAAATCACTAATAGTTCTCCCACAGTTGAAAGGTTTTCATTGCAAAGTGCAAAGCATACCGACCCGGTCTTCTTTTGCTAAATCAGTAGCAGAAGAAGTGATACAAAGTACTAAATAAAATATTATTAAACTTAGTTTTGACAATTTTTTCTCCAATTAAAATAAAAAACAAAACAGATTTTATGAAACTACATTTATTTTGAGAACCTGAGATATGAACGTGTATAGATCAGAAATAAAATAATACAAATTATACTCAATTTCCTCACAGAAATACAGGGTAATTGATGAAAATTGACAGGCAATTGTGCCAAAATACAAGAAGCCTGGCAGGCTATCAATAACATTTTTGCATATTTTTGCATGATTGGTTGTAATCTTGAATATTGAACTGTCACAGTGATATGATGTGCATATTTTAACAAGTAGTTTCAAATATTCCACTTAAGTATTTAAAACAGAACTAGGGTTAAGACCATACAGTGTTGAAGTCATTTATGTGCAATTGGGTCTTTTATGCAGATACATATGCATCCATATTTAGCGAAGAATCTTCAAATCCGATGAGTGTATGATTTCAAAGTTCCCAAAAGATAGTGACAATTTTGAATTGCCATTTGAAGTAGTTAAGTACTAATTAACAAAACAATTACTAAATAGAACAAACCTACTATATATGTATATATTTTTTATTTAGAAACTTGACTAGTATTCACCTAAATTGGTCACTAAAGTTTCTAAATGTACAAAAACGAAGGATAAAAAACAAAGAAATGAACACGAAACTATAATGATGATGATTAATGAAAATGATTAAAATGGGAATAAATGATTATAATTAATTAGAATCTTAGCTGCCTATAGACCATGGTTATAACAGCACTTAACTTAATATACAAACACATCTTAATTCATTAGTTAATAACAGCTTGTCTGCACTGATAACTTGGAATTAAAATACCTTTGGTAAAACCAGTATTTAAGCAAATTAAAAAAGAAATTAATAGAATACAAGAAAGTATTTTTCTTTTGTTTTATATACGAGCAATTATAATAACTTGGGTTAAAACTCGTTAGCTTTAAAATATTTGTACTTAGACAATATGAAGTTATCAGAATTGAGTAGATCTCCTGATAAACTGAAAATATTTCCCTCATTGCACACTGTCTGACAGCTGACATTATAAGCCCAAAGAAGATTTAATTTCTTTTACTCTTTTACATTTATTGGTAGTCTAACTATACATATTGGATGCAAACAGGGAAATCCTTTCAATTCGTAATTTGATTCAAAATTTTGATTAGAAAATTCAATTCATTAAGTACATTTTGATAAAAGTTGCAACTAAAAATGGATATTGTATTTGCAATTTCACGTGCAAATAAAAAAATGAAACTTTTAAAAGTCGTAATCTCTAACATAATTTGAGATTTAGTCCTCATTGAACACAAAAACACTAACAAAAACAACATGGCATCTTTTTGATGAACCAAAGTCCATCTACTAGATGAATCTACTATCTATATACAATAAATATAATGTAACCATGGCCTAATTGCTGCAATATGAAGATTTTTTTTTCGATGAGAAGCAAGGAAGCCATTGGTAGTGGTTTTTGGATCCATGTCAATCTCCTTCAGGATGCGAATTCCTAGATTATCAAATGCAATGCTACATGGTGCCTTTTCAGATTCAGTTTTAGATTTTGACATGGACTGAGTTCAATGGATTCCTTGCTTTATGAAGATGATTGTTTAGCTTAAACACCCTCATCTCCTTCACTGTCTTCGCCATCATCATCATCTTCATCAACTACTTCATCATCGTCATCATCATCATCTAAATCTCCATTATCTCCTGTAGCTAATCTTTTTAAATCTTCCTCATCATCTTCATCACCAAATAACTCGCTAAAATTTTCTATACAGGAGAATTTTTGTAAATGTTTCTCATCGAGATCTTTGTTACCTGGTCGAATAACTAATGTACTTCTTAATCCTGCTGCCACAGCTGCTGTCGCTTCTATAAATAGAAAGTAAAAACCATTTAACAAAAAATTTTCAGTTAATGAGGAGTTTAATCCAAGGGCAACAACTCTTGCAAAGGGAGCCAAAGTTTTGGTCTTACTTAAAAAAAATATCTTATATTCCATTTTTTACTCTATTTTTGTGGAGGAACACAAAATTCAATTCCATGTATTCCAACACTGGGGTAGCCCTCGATTGGCAGGTTTGGAACAGGTTCTGTCTGTTACATTTCTGGCATCAATAGAACAGTACGGAACCAGATTATGTCACATTCAAAATTTCTTTTCTCTGCCATTTTGAATTCTGTCTGCACCTACGGTTTTATTCCAGAAATCCTAAACGAGCAGTGAACTTGCCAATCGAGCAGCCCCTATGGAGTTTAAGTAAAGGGAAACAACTCTTAATAGTATTACAAAAACATAGTTCTTACCCTCTGTACAGTCAGTAAGGAAAAGAATGTCATCACCAGAAACACCAATTTCTGAGGCTATTTTTTTATAACTGGCACTATCTTTTTTATCCCCAGTTGTAGTGTCAAAATAACCATTAAATACCTACAAATTGAACATAACAAAATAACAAATGCTTTCCCGTTTAAAAAAATATTCAAAATGTAAATGCAAAATACCATTACAATTACCATTATCATGGACAATTTGTTTCATTTCTTTCCTGTGGACAATTTCACTCATTCTGTCAATAAATAGCAAATCAGCTATACTTACATCGGACATATCTCCTTCATTGGTATTAGCAAAAAATAATTTCTGACTTTCAACACTTCCTGATGAATACACATAGATGTTGATTTCTTCTTCTTGAAGTTGTCTTAATACATCACATACATCTTCAAACAATCTAAATATACATACATAATAGGCATGTCAAAATATTTCTATAATTTTGAAAAAGAAAACATATATGGGTACCAAACAGTTAAAAAAAAAGTAAATAGTTCTGTGAACACTTGAGAATGTGTTGAATTACCAAATCAGTCAAAGTGATATCATGTGCTCTTAAAGGGTGAGATTGTCCAGCCTGGCAGTTAAATATTTTTAAAATCTTTTAATCTTTTCTTCCATTCATTGCCCTTGGTAAACTAATATTCATATTCCACCTCATGAATATTTATTTATTGACTCATCAAACTTTCCCAAGGGGAAGCAATCAGGATGATGTAATGTTACTCTACTGGGTAGCTCAGGATATATTTAAGACAACAGTAAATTATTGATTGTCAGTGTTCATAAGATACATTTTGATATATTAAAAAAATAAAACAAAAGTAGAATTTCAAATAGATTTAGCCCTTTATTTAGACTAATAATACCTCTCATTGATATAAAATTTACTTACTCTCCTTTGATGACACCAGTTGTGTAACCTTCTCTCCAAATATGTCCCTGAATCTGTTTGAGTTCTGTAGATTTTCTATCAGAACTCATCTGCCATTTAATATTATCTATGACTGCTTTAATAACATCATCTTTATTGGAATCTGTGGCATCTGGTATTTCTACTACACCTTCTTTACCTTCTTCCTTATCTTTCTTGGCCTAAAATATTTGAATATATTTATATAAAATGAGGAGATATAGTTTTCATGGAGGGGTTAGCAGACATTGGAAGGGCATGCCTGCTGCCTTGTACCATGGATACAGTGAAATAAGCAAATGACAAAGAAATTAATCCAACTTTCATCAGAATTTGGTTTTTCTTGGACAATATCCAAATGCTAACAATTATTGTATTATTTGGTTATCTTAAAATGTTTTCAAGCCTCTTTATGCTTATCAAGATAAATGTCGCCTCTGATTGCACAGTTCTGATTTCCTGTCAGATGTCTGTGGTCCTGCAAGAGCTCTATTATATTATGCCATTTCTGAATGGTTTTAAAACGGTAAGCATTCTCTGCTTAACTCTGGTAAAAAAGGTAACAGTGACCGTGCTCATAAAAGCTTAAAGATGGCTTCCCTTAATTTCATTTATGAAAATGAATATGCTAATACTTATATGAATAGAAAGTAGAGGTGTTCTAATGAATTGGAAAAAAACCAGTTTGTCTCACATGTCCATAATCAATTCATAATTAGCTAAATAAGAAGAGAATTACCAGCAGAATTTCAATGAATGGCCGATCAAGAGGTCAATACGCCTTTTTTTTGTTTATCCAGATTGTACATACATGTACATTTATTATTGGTTAAAACACTTAATTATATGCAATAAGAACATAATGATATGATAAAGAATACATGATAATCATTAGAAACACCAATCAATCATATTGTTAGCTTAATTTGACACTAAAAAATAAGGAAACCCATCTTTAAATGAACAGTCCACTTACCAATTCTCTTAAAGCTGTGATATCTTTTTGTGTTTCTGCATCATCAAAATGTGCAGTAATGTACTTTTCACAATTATCTTTTACATATGGAAATAATTTGTCCTGAAAAATATTAATTGTCAAAATTTTATTACACTGCATGTAAATTTACAATAACAAAATAGTGCATTATGTATATATTGCATACTTTATATATTTATTTTTATGAATCATGTAGAGCAAATAAAACCCGACTCCTTACATCACTCATGACACATCTTGTTATTCAATGTTAAAAATTTCTCAAATGATTTCATTTTGCTAATTGTCAAGTACTAGGGGACAGGTAATTTTGAAATTGTAAATATAAATTGTCATATAATTACTTTGTTTTATGGATGTATCATATTATCCTTATAGAGGGATTTAAAAAAAAAATGGCACCTGGTAAGTCCACTGATGAATATAATATACTCTTATTGGCCAAATTTAAATTTTATATTAATTTTTAGAAGTAGTATACCTTTAAAAGACAAAGAATAGTGAATGGTGTAAACAATGAGATAATTCATTGATATACCTCATGGTATATAAGATAATTCCCATGGTATATTAGCCATAATGACTAGTGTGTGGGAGTATATATCAAGACAATGTTATATACTGGTAAGTGGTAGTATTTCAATGGTTAATGTGTAAATGGTTATAAAGCAACAATGTTTTTAGAAGTATCTTTTTGGTCACGTGACTTCAAATATTTCCCGCTGCCGTTCAAACCCTTTGACCCCTTCACAGCCGGGCTTTGTTTACATTATCCCCCATTTTTCATTTGGCGTGAAATTCCTTTCATAGGAACAATGAAACATTTTCACAACTGGGCCAAATCTCGATGTAATAAAATACTTGAAATCCAAGCTTACGCAATCGAATAGGTGTAATCAATCAAATAGATATTGATTGAAAGCAACAAGGAAGAAAACGACCTTGACCCCACTGAACTGCACAACGATAGTAGGCCGGTTTTTGTTCACCACGAGTAGTATTAATCACTCTCTGTACAGTATACAGAATTTATAATAATGGCGTCAAAGATAGCTAACAGTTATATATAAGAGAAATAAAACCAATATTAATGAAGTGATTGTCACAATATTAACGATCGAAGAAGTGGATCAATAGTGTTCCTTCGTCAATGATGCCATTATTGATATTTGCCGGCACCATTTCTGCAGTGAAGTATTTAATGTAATGCTTCTTCACAGAGAATCGCAAGGAATATTACAAACTATTCCGTGTCGTACGTTACCATCAAGCAATTTCCCAATCAAGGATCAACTCACTGAACCGTGGAAAATCAAAAGTTTTCGGAAGCAGGCGTGAAAATCCAGTGGCACTTGATTGCATTTTACCCCCAACGAAGCTACTGATTGTATACACACGCACAATACTTTTATAATACACGGTGCAGGAAAAATTGATGCAGTTCAAATTTTTAAAGCAAGCAATAACTAAAAATTCACCAAAGCAAATATAAGCAACGACCTTGTAGTTTTTTTTGCGGGGCCGAAAAAAAATTAGCGGGGATTTCAAACAAGGAAGGGGAAATCGCACAATGTTCCTGTTCTAAATATCCGCGTTCACTAAGGCTATTTGAAGTTGAAAAAGGAAATAAAAACTTACCTTTACAAACGATATTGAAGTCGTGGTTCCCTCAATATCCACCAGTAATGCTTTTACTCCAGTGATCAAAGAGTCTGCTTCTTCTGCGCTTCTCTTTTGTGGTGCCATTTCGAAGATATGCTGTTTTAAAAATTTGAAGCGAGTGAGCGACAAGAACGTTGGTATTGAACAAAGAAGCCGGGTAGTAATGGTTGTATTCACTCCAGTCAGGTGCGCGCTAATGCTGTACGCTGTTTAAAATGGCTGTACATTTTCGCCCAAAGAACCTATTCCTTTCTCCATTGTTTACCATTATCGCCCAAAATTTAGGTTTCTGGGTGGAGCTTTATTCTTTCCAATGTTTTCATTGGTTCGAAGGTTCATGACGTCATATATTTGACCTTTGTTGGCAGGTCATAAATATGTCGACCAATCATTGAAGATTATTTTCACGAGATGTCAAGTGGGGACGAATGAGTTGTTCTTTCTTTATTTACCGCTAGATGGCGTCTCTTGTCCTCGATTTCAATCTCAATCTGCATCCGACAGCTCGAACGTCTCCATTTCCCTGTTGACAAATGCTTTTAAAACCCCTTAATTTAGCCCAATTATAAACATGTAGGTCGAATTTCTCCTATGAATATGCATATTTTCGTGATATGTTGTTCATTTTAGTCTAAATTGTCAAAACTTCTCTAATTAAGCTGTAAAAGTAGATAAATTATATTTGACGTGGCAGGGAGTGAGTCCGCAAGATCTACTCACCGTCTTGAATATCTACCAATGAAAACGTGACTTCCACGCGAGTTCGGGTGGTTCAGGCTGTCGTATTGTTCATGGTGTTTGCAAAGTAAGTAAGGTCAGAAAGAAAACAAACCAGTTATTTTGGTCTTTTCATTGACACCCACCCATTGAGCTGAAATATTACCGGGCCTGTAATCTATAGATATGTTTTATCGTCTGGTGAAATTTTGTCAGTTTCTTCCTTGATTCTGATCTAACTATCGACACTGTTTGCTGTCGTATTTTGGACTTGACACCGGTAGATTCAATCATTTTTAACAAGTGCCTACGTGGACTATTTTAACTTTTCGCCGAATCCTTTTACGTAAGTTCAGAATCTAAACTTTAGTGTTTGCCATATGGTTGCAATTATTAGATCTTGTGTGTTTGTTTGGATCAGGATAACAGGATTTGTAGTTGAATAATAATCGTACAAAAAAGCTAAAGTAATATTAGGAATTAGGGTGATTTCAATCTTGCAAGGGAATTCCTCCATGCCTTGCTATAAGAAAAGGGGAGTGGCTGGAATTTTTGACCGTTTCCTTGATGCCAAGGTTTGTATTTACGTAATGATTTACTCATCTGTTTTTTTCAGGAATTAAAACACTATAAAAAAAGATTAAGTTAGCAAGAAAATCACCATGGATCCTCAATCTATATTAATTGGTTTAGTGGTGTGTGTTTTGTCTGCTATCATAATTTATTTAATAACTGCTTTCACAATGAAAGAAAAAACATTTGATGAAGTTTTGGAGGAACAGAGAAGAAGACAAGAGGAAGAAAAGCCTAAATCGAAGAAAAAAATCGTAGATGTGGCAAAAAAGAAAGTGAAAAAGGAGCCAGTGGCTAAAGAAAAAGTGAAACCGAAAGTAGAAACCAAAAAGGATAAAGAAAAGGACCATCATAAGGATAAAGAAAATAAAATGGTCAATTTAGAGATAGAACCAGAGGTCATTGAAGCACAGGAAAGTGTCACTGTTCAGTCTATGAAAAAGAGTAAGAAGGTTAAAGCACAGAAACCAATTCTAGCTAATAAAGATGAACAACCACTTGTTTCCGAAACAACTACCACCAAGGTATTATTTCATAAAGAAGTGGCACCTAAAGATGAAATTGCTTTGAAACATGTGAAACATGATGATGAAAAGGCACCAAAGAATGATGATTCCAATAAATCCAAGAAGAAATCTGATAAGAAGAAAGAACAAAGTTCCAAAGTTGACACCATCACTGAAGTGGTTCAAATAGAAGTTGAGAAAACCATCAAGAGTGAAAAGAGAACTGATTTGAAGTCTAGGAAAACTGACAAGAATAAGAATAACCAAGGTAAACAATTTTTCTATTCTTACAATATTTAAACAATATTATGTGTTAATGTTTATTGCATATATGTATTATATTATTAGCTGTAAACATATACACATGATTTTATGTTGGCTTAATAGTGCTTTTGATATAAAACATCTTTTGGAGTGAGTGGCTTTTCAGATTAGGGACAGTCCGTATGAAAAAAAATGAAGAATCCAGATTAGGTACTGATAAGTTGACTAGATAATATCAAATATTATTTGTGATACAGGAGATAGAAAAAATGTAGGAGTTAGAACATGCAAGGTTTCATAAAATGTTGCATGAATTTCATCATTCTTTTGTTTTAAAGGGTCACATTGACCTCAGTTTAAATTTTAGAAGAAATTGATGTTATTAAGCTTATGAGAATACCCTACAGTATATTATTACTGTTAATTACTGATGTGTGTGTGGATTAATATGTGTACATAATTAGCACACTGTTAATTAGATATCATAGGTCACACTTATTACTCTCATGTTATTAATTTAATTTGTGACATGATACTAGTTAGTTACCTATAAATGCAATGATAACCTGCAATTAATGCAGCCATTCCTAACTCCAAGATTATTATCAGTTGATATATGATCCATGAAAGTCAATATTTTAAATATTGGCTCAATCCTTCATGGGGAAAATTAGAAAAAATATACAGGTTGTCCATAGTTAGTAATCAATTAAATCAAATCTTAAATGTAAATGACTTGAATTGAATAGTCTTTTTGATATGAGCAAGCTAAATTTAAATAGCATGTTAAATGTAAATGTACTTTAATTAACATTCTTTTAGTTATTTGCCATGTACAGTGTTTAATTTACAAAGCTAAGATAGAAGACGCAAGGCTAATTTTGCCGTCTTGACAAATTTCTATCATTTCATCCCAGACGGCATTATAGCCTTAAATAAGAACTGGTACTGGTACACAAAATTTTGTTTTATGTCATTGTCATTTGCTAAACAAATTGTAAGCTTACACAGACGTAAACTGTCTAGATGTTAAACATCCTGTTGAGTAGTAGACTTCTTTCTGACCTGGTATCTGTTTTAACAGTGTGACTCTCTTTATCATGAAGTTTGGTATTCTCATTAACATACCACCTGTTTCTCTACAGCAACAAGACATAACCATAAAAATTTACAACTAGTACTGGGAACTTCAGTTGATAATGATGAATTTGAATGACAGATGCTATGAATTATCTTGTTTTTCTTTGATTGTAATTGCGTTAAAAAAGATTTAAATTAGATAGATGTGTTTTCAATATTGATTTATTGACAAAGATAACTAAAGACTTAAGTAAATAAAAAAATCACCATGTCTTATGTATGTTAACTTTGAAATCTGCTGTTTTACACACATAATGTGTTAACCTAGTAGCTGTAAGTGAAGTTCTGAAAGTGTCACTTCCATCAAGGGCATACTCTCCATTTCCAAAACCCTTGATGTTACTCTGCAACTGTGTTTGTCAACTCAGCATAGCTAAGCTAATATATGTTTGATTTAACAAAATGGATTATTAACCCTTCAGCTAGAATTAATTTTAAAGTGCAAATTCAGTTGTGTTTAGGTTTTATTCTTTCTGAGTAGAATAGCAATTTCATATTTTCAAAAAGTATTCAGGATTGTATGATTTGTATATTTCAGAATCTACCAGTAGCAACAGTATGCCATTGATTAATTCTATTAAAAATGCTTCGTTAAATGATGCTGATATTCAAAGTTTAATAGAAGTTTTATTAGACAAACAGAGTGGAACCATTGATATTACTTCTGATTGGAATAAGGTATGCTTTTCATTTGTCTGTATAGATGTTTATCTACATATCTATAAATATTTAACAACCCAAGAATCAGTTAGATTCAGTGTAGAATCACCAAAAAAAGAAATATGAATAGTTATGATGAAGCTATACAACACCAATACAGTAATTATTTATAAAGAATATATAGCTATAAAATAATAGCATGTCTTAAGTAGCAATAAGCTAATATTTATCAAATAAATTTCTTTTAACAGTCATAAACTGATAGAATTTGACATTTATTTTTACATGTTTTGTTATTACAGAAGAGTCAAAAAGGACAGAAAGGAGATGGTTTAGCACTTCTCAAACAACAAGTAGAAGAAAAAGAAAGAGCTCTTCAACAAGGTAATTTTAAGATTGAAATTGCAACATGATTTGAACAGATTGGCATAAATTGTGACATCTTGTCCAAGTTTAGTGAACATGATTTATAAAGCAACATACAAATATTTGAGTTAAGCCACTAATATTTGGGTGTTTGATGAGGACACTAATCACAAAATATGGATTATCGTGCAAACCCGTTTGCAATTAGTGTCCCCAATACACATAAAAAATGTTTAAAATTCTTTTCACAATAGCCTTAAGTCCTGTTTACTATTTCAGAACAACAAATTGCTATGGCTTCTAATTCTAAAGCTAAAGAGATCAAACAAGAATTAAATACTGAGAAAGTCCGACATGCTGCTATGGAGAAAGCTTTTAAAGAGAAACTTGAATCACAGAGCAATGAGATGAATGCTCTACAAGTTCGTATTCAACACGCTCATGATCAACATGTAGCTGAAACCAACAATCTACAAGCTAGATTACGACAATTTGAACAAAGCAATGATCGAAATCTTCTACAAGCACTACAGAAAGTAAGTATGGAGATCTATCTTCAAGAACTATAGATTTATAAAGTACTAGATTTTAAATCCTATTCCTATTCTATAATTAACAAAACATATCTTAAAGGGACAGAGTGCGCCATTGTTTTTGGACCAATCATACTTTAGTCTCAGAAACAGGATTTTTTTGCTTAGCCAATCAGTAATAGTGTACAAACTATCTCTCTTCTATAATTCATTTGCTTTTCAATCAGTTTTATTGTATTTTCTTATCTTTATTTTTTTAGGAAAATAAAATCTTACAAGATACTTTAAGAGAAAATCTGTCAAAGCCTAAGTAAGTGATCAAAAT